AACAATGGACAGATAATCATGGAGTCCATGAGGCGAAGGATTCTCAGCACAGGAGGTTTGCAGATTGCCTTTGTTCAGCCAATGGATACCGGACATTATACTTGCAGTGCCACTAATGTGGCTGGATCTAGCAATTCCACTACAGAACTCACTGTCCTTGGTAAGTAAAATTAAAACCTGGGAAACTTGAGTTTATTTATTAAACATTGAAGAAGTCAAAGTACTGGCTAGCTTTTAATTTTTCATTCCACGGGTAAACGTATAATTATCACTTTAATGAACTGGCTATTGCAGTATTAAACTTACCCTGAAAATAATGAGTGGAACTCTGGAGTGATATATATTTTACCAAATCACCCTGTCAGCATTCCAAATATCATGCAGAATTAAATCAGAGTCTATCCTTAGCCCTTCGATTCAATCAATCTCCTTGCAGGAGCCAAGACTGGTAGGCTTGCTTTCTTGAGTAACATCCCATCCCATCTTGGTCATCTGCACATTTCTTCCACTCCCAAACAAGTGTAGGACTAGTAGAAAAATTAATGTTATAGTAGATTAAAATATTTTTTTTAAAAAAGATCATTAATATAAAGCTCTCTGGAATATTTCCTCTAAACACAATAATGTTAAAATTAAAACCTATATTTTAGCATATTATAAAAGGGGGGGAATTCTTTATTTCTGGCAGAATACTGAGATCTCTGAACACTGCTTGCTGATGAACTCAAGGGTTCACCGACAAATGCACGCTCGACAAAAGCGCGCCGACAAAACCGCGGCAAGAAAACCGCGAGGTCGAAATCACGCTGACGAATGCGCGCAGAAGTGCACAGAAGCGCGCCGACAAATGCGTGCCGATGAAAGTGCGCCATCAAAAAACAACAAAAACAATGTAATAACCCTAACCCTAACCCTTACCTTAACCCTAATCACGCTTTTGTAAGCGCGGTTTTGTCGGCGTGCTTTTGTCGGGCGTGCATTTGACGGGTCTCGGAACTCAAGCTAATATTATTGCCTAAATAATTTAAGGGTTTGTTGGCAAATGTTTACTAGTTCCCAAATTTCCCTATTAAAATTGGTTCCACCACAAAACCGCGGACGACAAAATCGCGGTCGACGAAAGCGTGCATTTGACGTCATCACAGTGCGATGAAAACATCGCGCTGTGATCGAAAAATGTAAAAATAAAGCGAAAACCTTACCCTAACCCCCCCAAACCTAACCCTAAACCTAACCCTAAACCTAAGCCTAAATCTAACCCTAAACCTAACCCTA